TGACAATTACAAGTTCTAAAGTAATTATAGTATAAACTCTGTACAATTACTTTAGAACTTGTAATTGTTAAATGACTTCCTTACTATATTAAATTTTTTTTTCAATATGATTGAAATTTAAAAAAATTTTCATAAATATAACACCAAATCGAACACTTTTTTTTCAGCTTTCTCTTTTCCAAGTTTTCTTTCTCCAAACTTCGCTAGATTGTTTTTCAAAAAAAAAAAATATTTTTAACCATAGCTAGAACAAAAAGGACCCAACGAACAACCCAACCTTCTCAATTAACAGCTTCTGCCACTCCTTTGAATCAACCATCCGCAACTTCTTCGACCCAATTATCCACAACTCCTTTCACAACTTCTTTAACTCAACTACTCACAACAACTTCTTTGACCCAACCATCCACTACACCTTCGACCCAACCATCTATTACTTTACTGTCTATCGCTTTTTTGACCCAACCATCTATTACTCCTTCAACCTAAGCATCCACCACTTCGACCCAACTATCTACTACTTTGACCCAACAATCCACCACTTCGCCCACCCCTTCAGCCAGACAAACCACCTCTACAACCAGACAAATCACCACTTCAACCAGACAAACCACCCCTTTGACTAGACAAACCACCACTTCAAGCAGACAATCCACCATTTTGACCAGACAATCCACCATTTTGACCAGACAATCCACCACTTCAACCACCCCTTCGACCAAACAAACCACCACTTCGCCCAGACAATCAAGCATTTCGACCACTACTTCAACCCAACCATCCATTACTTTGACAACCCCTTTGACCCAACCATCCACTACTCCGATCCAGCCCGCAGTAGTTATTTCTCCACAAAGAACCACCTCTCCTCATTCGCCTCGTTTGTCTTATTCATCACTGAGAACTATAAGAAGCAGAAGCTGAAGTGAAAGCGGTGAATGATTAGAAACTCTTGCTGATTTTAATTTAGCAGAAAACAATTGAAGACTGGAGAATAGTAAATTTTTTCAAGTGTTTAAATATGCTGATTCATAACAAATTTTGTTTTATTTACTAATTTTTTTCTTTTCTTTTTTATTTAAATGATGGCCGAATATATACCAATATTATAATTATTATTTTTTTCTTTCTTATTTGAATGATGACTGAAATATGCCAATTTATTTATTTTTTTTTAAAAAAATAGTGGCTGAATTCATGCCGATTTGTAACTAATTTATTTTATTATTATTTTTATTATATATATATCTATTTTTCTTAAATAGTGGTTGAATTCATGCTGATTTATAACTGATATTTTATTATTATTATTATTATTATTATTATTATTATTATTATTACTATTATTATTATTACTATTATTATTATTTTTTTAATATTAGAAAATCGACTACTGTGGAGTGAGACTGATAACCTATGTGGGATCCAGAGGGACCAGGACCGATAAATCATGGACCTAGAAGATCAGGTCCAACTTCTTCGAAGTTCCTATTCCACCCTCGCTGATGACATAGAGGCTTTACAAATATTAAGCTACCAGGCTTCAGGTCAGAGCGAATGGCCATGGGTAGAGGTCTGATCCGGTCAAAAAACTGGCAATTTGAATATTCATTTGATCAAACCTATTATATCTGAGTAATCAATGAAAAATTCGAATAAATATCTGATTTATTCGATGATATTCGATGATATTCGATATCTTTTTAGTTACTTCATACTTTCGACACTCTTTTGACTTATTACAGTATTAAAATTGCAAGTTACATATTAGATCACAGAGCTAATAACAATAGTTTAATTTACATAAGATTAGCATTAGTTAATTTCTTTCTGACTATAGCACAATCCTTAGTTCATTCGCAAGTTTTAGATCTTTAGATCTCGAAAATTCTGTTTTCTAGTATACTAAAAACTTAAAGCAGTGCTTTTGTAAATCTCTATCCAGTAAGGTTAGGATCTATTTGGAGCTTCCTTGAATCTTTCGCTTGGCCATATGATAAGTATAAATCTAAATTTTCGTTAGATTATTGTACCTTACAAAAATTCTCTTATTTAGCTATTAAATTTGTTTGGTTATTAAAGGCTCGCACTAAAAAACTTATGCAAATAGAATGCTAAGAAAATTGTCTTCTAGACATTTTATTATGCTGTGCCATTTTTATTTTATTTTTTTTATATATATATTCTATTCTTTTTATTTAATAAAAGTTTGTTTTGTGAAATTTCTATCTAATATGATTTTTTCGGCTAAATAATGATTCAATTATAGAGAAGAAAAAAAAAAAAAGAGAAAGAAAAAAAGGAAAAAAAGGGACAAAAAAGGAAAAAAATATATATATATACTAAAAATACTAAAAAAAAAAAAAAAAAGAAGACGTACTTCCAAAAAAAAAAAAATATCCAAAATTTCACTCAATCAAATCATAAGCATTATTTAGTTCATTACAGTTTCATTTTAAAAATAACATCCATTCAAATAATTTTGGTTTTAGCATCATTCTTCTAACAGTCATTATATTGTTTGCATCGCTGAAAAGTCGCTCACTCGGAGTTGAGGTCGTGGGTATTGCAAGATACTGTCTTGCAAGCTCACTTAAGAGAGGAAGGGAAGTCTTTTGAGTATTTCACCAGTGAAAAGGATTATGATTGTAGAAAATTTCAGGTAAAGAAAGATAATGACTAATTTCATCAATTGGCTCATCAACAGTATTTTGCATAAAAATTGATTTGATGAATGTTTTTTGATAGATTTGGCGTTCTCTCTGATTATTTTCAGCTGAAAGTTGTTCATTAAAATCTAAAGGCTGGTTTGTTAGGGTTAGTGAAGATTGAAGTGATTTAATATTATTATATTTTTCTCGAAGGGCAGCTTTCGCTTGGAGTTGTTGAGTTGATGTTGCAAATCTTAATTTTTTAAACCTCGGATCCAGAAGGTATGCAAGGAATAATTCTTCATCTGAAAAATCCCAATAGTGTAAGAGTGCATTATATAATGCATTCTTAATTTTGTGCTGCATATTAGTAACGTCAATAGGTGTATTGATTTTAATTTTTCTTCCTTTAGGACCACCTTCTTCTTCTTCCTGTGCATCAACAAATCCAACATTATTGTCGAATACTAGGTCAGGCATTTCAAAATTTATGTTATTCAATTCATCTAAATGGTCTGTAGAGCAATCCAACTTATCCATCAATCCTAAAATAGAGGGGATCATATAGAAAAATGTAATATATTCGGAACCACCGAGTAATTCTGTAACTTCAAAGAAGGGACCCAAAATATTAACAATATCTCGCATCAAATCCTACTCATTATCAGCTAATTGTATTTCTTTTAACCTTCTTGCGTTTTTTCTTGCTTCAGATGCACTTGAAATATTTAATATTGCTAAGACAATGTCGATGGCATCTTTAATAATTAGAAGTCGTTTCCAAGTGAGAAAAGATGAATTTCAACGAGTGGACACATCCATTTTTGCACGAAGGTACGTTGAAGTTTTAGTAATTATCTATAATAAAAGTATTTTAGT